AGCCATGGCTGAAAGTGCGTCTTCTGACGGAACACAAATCGGCACTGGCGCTATAAGACCATCGCCTCACTACTAATACTGCTAAGGCCCAAACATTTATATCTCGGGCTACACAGAAAGAGGGTGCGAGCACTTTGGAAGAATTGAAATTTCTCACCCTTTCAAGGCTGTGATATCTTTGTGACATCCTAAGGCTCGGAGTAAATAGTCCTTCTCCAGCTGAACAGTCTCTGCATTATAGAGCTCCATCACCTGAAAAAAAAAACAATTCCGCGCGAGTTCTCAGAGCAGCTACTTTTTAGCAGTCACATAATGAAAATTCAGCACGAAGTATCTAAAGGGATCAGATACTCAAGACTGTAACTGATTTATTAAATATGCGTGGCTAATCGGTAAGAGGTGTGCGCGTTAAACCGCAGACCAGCAGCCACTCGTAAGGGCTGCCAGCATACACGTTCTTGGTCCCTTCCTTCTCACGTAGCGAACACTCTATGTCTTTCAAATTCCATGTTAGGAAGATGTCAGACTTGCGAATCGAGCGATTCGCTACTAGCGATTCGCTAGCGTCCGCGGTCGCGTTGCGGTACCAGCCAATTGAGTGATTCACTGGCCGCGACGCGACCGCAGACGCTAGCGAATCGCTCGATTCGCAAAGTCTGACAGCGGCCAGTGGATGCCATTGAAGTCACCTTGTTGAAAGCTTCATCTCCTCCTTCCTTCACACCATAGCAATAAACCATCGCTCGAAGAGGGGCTGCGACCCTAAACAAGTCAATATGAGACGTCGGCCACGTAGAAACATTGCAATCATGCTAAAGTGACTTCCGAGAACACTATTCTTGCTTGAGCTCCTCATATCTCACTCATTACCAGGGTTTTTAACCCAATGTCACCAGCTCTTCAAATTGCTTCTTTGGAACCTCAGTGTTTGTTTTACCGAGAAAGCTCTCGCTCTCTCACTTTGGGCACTGATTTTTTTCGTCAAAAAAGCAGCTGCAGTAATGACAGCACTCAATAGTTTCTTATTTAGGTGCAAGAAATACCAAAGCTTCACTCAAAATGCTTGCAACGACGTCCGCACAATTGAAGTACTATTTGTAGTAGTGAACTTATAAAGCCTAGCCTGTATAATACTCTTTTTAAAACTTCTGCTCATGGACGCTCCACATGAGTAAATCTTTTCAAGATTGTTCGACTTGATCTCCATATCGTCAGTTATTTCGACCTTTGAATCGACAAGACGGTAAAGCAATTAGCGATCCAGTTTTGCACTTCATTATGGCTTCATAGCACGTGGGTCAGGTACACCCTGCAGGTGTTCGTGGATATTCGTTCACTTTTATGCCATTATCGCTGATTCGTAACGCCCTTAGACTCTTGTAGCCTAGTCCACATTAGGGTGAAAAAACGAGAGAAGCGAAAGAAAATGTCTCAATCAGGGCCCTCTTTCTATGGGTGAGGAAGGATCTCATTTAGGGGATGGGGGGAGGCACAATGAGCCCAGTAAACGGATAAGAAACCGTAAATGTAGAGCGCACTGTTCAAAAGTCATAAATTACATATAGCAAACAATCCTTCGACATTCACCACGGCTCATATACTTTTAAACGAGCGAACTCTCAACGGCGCAACCACGGAAATCGTCTCGCCCCACTTTCTCACCACTGATCCAGACCTAGTATATGTACGTTTTAGTGGCATCTTTTCTTCTTCAATTTCCGATCCTTATTTTACTATTTCACATTCCTTTGCTTCATTTGAGCTTCTGTGCTGCTCTCTGCTTTCTACTACTTTCACCTCATTTGTTACCGTATCTCTTTTTGGGCGGAAGTGGTGTAGTGGCAAGTGGCACGCTTACCACGCGAGCGGTCCGGGGATCAAATCCTGGGTCGTGAGTCGCCCGGGCCAACCAAGCCTTCCATCCCTCCGGGGTCGGTTAATTGGTACCAGACTTGTCTGGGAGGATAAAAACACTGACTTGTACATCGGCTGGCCCCCGCAAGTCATTGTATAGGCCACATCGCATTCAAACGCCACTAATGTACAAATGGAAGTAGAATGCGTGCCGCATCCCAAAAAGGGATTGATCAACGGCAAATGCTTTATCCTTTTATCCTTTATCTCTTTTTTTACGATTCATTCACCTTTCATGCCATTGTCGCTGATTCGTGAGCCCTTAAGCATGGTGACGGATTAAAGTACAACAAATATGGAACAATGAATAGAGCTCATGATTAGACCTTTAGATTCGCCATTGTCTTTTGTATATAATTCTATGCTGTCATGGTTTCTCATCACGTTAGTATTGGATAAAAGAATAACTCACTTTACGCATTCGCTCGCCTTGTGGCCTTGCTTGCATTTCCTACTGACGTGTTTCACGAAGAGATCACTATACTGTCCAATGCATTCCTTCGATCCGAAGTGACAGTACGCATCTAATAACTGCTTTCTGCAGATTGCTGAAAAAAATAGAAAATTCGTGTGCTATAAACTGTATTCAGTAGAAATTATCGAGCATTGTTCTTTCCCGTAGCCTCGTTTTGGTTTCCGTATGTAAACAACATGAGACTCCAGAATAATCTCTGCGAAAGATTTAAAACTCTTCAAATAACCTCTAAAGGAATTACAAATAGTTGCAAAACTTTGAAGCCTATTCGGGAAGCTTTTCACACGTAGTGCCTTTTTCAATCGTGAAAGAGTTGAAATAACATTTAGGTTTTCTGAAGTAATGATCTGCTGCAGGTTGGGCATAAATGTGGTGACAGGAATGAACTACAACAAATGTATTCGAACAATGAATAGAGCTTATGACTAAACCTCTAGATTCGTCATTGTCTTTTGCATATGATTCTATGGTTTCATGGTTTTCATTTGGTGAACGGTTTCATTTGAATTGTTCTGTCCCGAAGTCTCATGTTGATCTAAATGTGTAATAAACAATGTGAGACTTCAAAATTTATTGCAAAAGACTAAAACTTTCTACAAAAGAAATTGCAAAATTGTGTGGTTTGCAAAAGTTTTGCAAAACTATTTGCTTTTGCACACACAGTTTTGCAATTTCTTTTGTAGAAAGTTTTAGTCTTTTGCAATAAAATTTTGAAATCTCACATTGTTTATATCACATTTAGGCTTCACTTAGATCGTTAAAGGCGATATGCGTGTCTCCGTTCGGCGTAGATAGACTTCCTTAAATATTGCTTTATCCGAAGGATCCATTGCCAGATCGTCATGCGACTCTATTGCAATACACATTGTGGCTTTTCTCAGAGAGGTCGATTGGTTTGGAAGCCAAAAAGTGACAGTGAATATTATCACAGTGTTTCCACCGCGATTTAGTGAGGACCATAATAAAAATGGCTACTGATCCGACCTTACCCAAGATTAACACGGCGAAGTGTTCGGCACAGAAAGCTTGGGATCACTTCATTATTAAAAACCAGAACTTTGGTGTGTCGGTTTGTCGGTGTGTGTGTGCGTGTGTCGTTCTGTCCGTCCGGACCGACCGCTCACAAAACCAGGGAGTACGAAGGGCAACACTTCGTGATGTTGATGTCATGATCATGATAACCCACAGCGGCTATATAAACACCGATCGAGCACACTCAGTCTCATTCTACATGGTGCTGCCGTGGCAGCCGGATGAGCGGGGGGGGTAGGAGGGAGGTGGGGGGAGGAGGGAAGAGGGAAGATGGAAGGGAGCAAGAAAAGGGAGGCTGGAGGGGAGAGACGGAGAGTAAGAGAAAGAGAATGGGAGAGGAGAAAGGGGGGAAAACATGGCGCTGTCAGGTGCCGGGCCGAGGTGAGGGTATAAGGAGGGAGGTGGGGAAGAATCTGGGAGAGAACGACCGTTTCTAAGAGTAGGGTCTATATTCATGTTGACGATATTCTTCTAACCTTTGATTGTGGGAGGCGAAAACTGTGTAGTCTATATTGCTGAGGCAGACTCTGTAGGGAGAGGGAGAATTCATTTAAAGCAACAGTTCAGGGAGGGTCCGAAAATTTCAATGCCACTACTACTGAGGGATACACGAGCCCTAGTGAAGAACATATGCAGTGGAAATAATAAACGAACTTACCTCAGAAACTCAAAAACAGGGTGGAAAGTCCCTCAAACATGGGTGTTCTTGGGGATTTCCCCAATCCCGCCCCCTTGCCGGCCGTCATTGGACGCGTCGGCAATCGTGCTCGTTTTGGGACCACAGGGAAAATTGATTGAAAAATGGAGCGCGTTTACAGCGGGCACGTTCAGACAACTCGTCCAACGTGCGTCTTTATCCATTGCTGAGCGGCAGAGGGAGAGTACCTGTCTAAGACCCTCCCCGACGTTTTTTTTTTCCAGTTTTTCATACATTAATCGTCTGGTTTTCATCTACAACTTCATTATTGGTGGTTTTTTCCCGCGAAACCGTTCCTGAACTGTTGCTTTAATTTCGAGGGTTGGGGGGGGGGGAAGCTAAGAATGCTCGTATGTGCAAGGATGGGAAAACGTACGCTATCCCTCATGAATGATCCTATCTTTATTCGAGAATTTTTTTCTTATGAAAACTTTATTTTCCGACTTTGGGCTGCACAAAGATTGGCCGGTCAAAACCACCGATTTGAGTGTAACGAATTATTTACTGCGGTCAGCATTAAAGCTGAAGAAGCGCACAGCTCGTATAAATTGCTAACAGCGCTCTTCAAAGAGTTTAAACAAAGTTTCGAAAGATGTCATCCGAGCAAAAGCCAATTTCTGTAGTGTACACTTGGAGAAGATTGCCAAGTTCTAGTCGGCCATTTCGAATAAGAAATATTAACAATGTTTCAAAGGATATGGTTATACGTTGCTGTACAGATATCCCGTTTTGATTTTCTGGTTAACTAAGCCAATCACTTTGTCACCATATTTATGCACCACCCTGTACATTATACAGATTGCCTTACCTGCTATCATTCGGCGCGCAACTTTCATCTGCCTAGTGAAACGTGTGGCTGAAGTAGTCCCTGCTCGGGCTCTGTTCTTAATAGCGCAGAAGTGCTACGACCGCAGCGTTACACAAACCACCACTACCAAGCTAAGTGTTCATCAGTGGCTCTTCGCAGAGGTATGGGGAACATCAGAAATCAAAGAACGATACAAAACACACTTTTCAAAAAAGAGAGAGTCGTTCTTGAAGTTGTTGACGAGATAGTCGATACTGCTCTTTTTGTAGATTGGTTCCAGTATGCTCATCATGTAACTCTGAACATTGAATCATAACGGTTTGAGGCATGTTGCATGACTTGCCTGGCTCACTTTGGCGAACTTCGATTCCGGCTCGTTGCCAAAGTACTTCAAAATTGAATACAATCCAACTGTGATATCGATCCATGGAAGAAGTTCCTGTAATGTTTTTTCGTCAAATTCCATTTTTATCAAAATTTTCAGCATGTCTCAAAATTAGATCGAAACCTCTTCGTCCTTGGCGTATTTCAATAGGTCAAACAGAGTCTCGTACTCAAGTTTGTCAATTAGTGCAACTGCAAACGCATCACTTATGATCGCGTTTCTTGTCCGTGGACTGTATACCTGAATAGAATCTCCTTACATTGCACGAAAACCCACTCATTGCTTTTCCTAGACATGTGGGATGAATAAAGGATAAAGGATAAAGCATTTGCCGTTGATCAATCCCTTTTTGGGATGCGGCACGCATTCTACTTCCATTTGTACATTCGTAGTGGCGTTTGAATGCGATGTGGCCTATACAATGACTTGCGGGGGCCAGCCGATGTACAAGTCAGTGTTTTTATCCTCCCAGACAAGTCTGGTACCAATTAACCGACCCCGGAGGGATGGAAGGCTTGGTTGGCCCGGGCGACTCACGACCCAGGATTTGATCCCCGGACCGCTCGCGTGGTAAGCGTGCCACTTGCCACTACACCACTTCCGCCCATGGGATTGATAGGTGCTTGAAATTGATTTTCATAATGCTGTGCTGCTCTGGCTATTTCTAGAAACAGGTTATTTGAATAAGAAAGGAAATTGCTGATGAATCAGCATTGCCTAGTGATGAGGTGTCGGCTTCAGAGCGTCCAACTAAACGCTGACAAGGGTGCGGGTCTTGCTTAGCTCATAAAACCCATGAAAAATTGAAGAAACGATCAGTGATTACATGAAACTTGGTTAAAGGTACCTTATGATTTTCTTTAAGTTGTTTGGCGATTCTTTCCCAGCCCTCAGCATCATAGTTTTGCCTGTAAAATCCGTGCCGGTCGGCGTTAACCACAATTGAAGTATTTGGTCTGACGTGCAAATAAAGCGGCTTGTCTGCAAAACGGGATTAATATATGGTCTGCATTAAAATGTTAGATTTCATTTTTCACTTAAAGGAATAATTTACGATATGGACGAAGATGAAACGAGGGGAAATCATAGTTGGAAGACAGACACCTCCTGAGGGTGCTGACCGACGCGCAATTGGCAGCGAAAGATTTGACCTCGGCGATCTAGCATGGCTCACTCTTGGCGCGGTTGGCGGGGTACGCCCACCGACTATCTAATCACTCGCCGCAGGTCTATACGTGGCGAGTGATTAGATAGCAGAGAGAGCGTAGTGTTGAAGAGGGCACAGCGATGAGAGTCGCATCAATGCGCAAATCAACGGGCAAGGAAGGGGTTCCCATTTCTGGGGTTCTGGGCCGTTTCTCATGGTTCTTCCTTTTTCCGTGTACCACTCA